TTTTATTACTCTAAATTAGGTAAATAAAATTATCTCTTCGGTAGTTGAGAAAATGCCCGAGTCTTCTTATAAATTTCTTTACAGGACTTCTAAATCAGTTATAAGTTAATAAGGCAACATTTATCACCCTTTAGCATCAGTGCAGAAAATTGAAATGTATTTTTTCTCTTTAGAGTCTTACAGTTTAGTTAAATACTAAAGGCTAGATAGTAAAGATTCTGACATGCTAGTATTAATTTAAAATTATTAATATATGTTCATAATACTTATGAAATGAATTTAGATTTGATTCTCCTGCTTTTAAAGATTATATTATTAATAACTGTAAGAAATAATAAAATTGGCTTTTAATTTTGTGTGTGTCGGAAAAAAAGGGTCTTTTAAAAATCAGCTGTTGATAATGAACAGATTCATATCAGTTGCCAACAAACAAGGCAAAGCATATGCACAAAATACTCACGATTATTTGATAATAAATCATTTTAATGATTATACTCAAAATTATGAAATGAGGATAGCACTGATGTGGAAAATAACAAAGGCTCATGCTCATCAGATCTGTTATCCATATGTGCATGGCTTCTGAAGGTTCCACTGTCATCACTTTAATGCAAATATTTTCTTTGTACTGCCCAATCTAACAAATAAAGCCAGCTAATTTGGTCGAGTTTATATAGATAGATGTGTTACTCAAAATTATTATAAATATATATTGCTTTAAGTGTTCTGCGTTTTGAGGAGCAAAGGAAGAAAGAGAAAGAGATAGAGAAAAACCAAACAGCAGACTTAACTATAGAGAACAAACTGATGGTTACCAGAGAGGAGGTGGGTAGGGGGAATAGATGATGGGGATTCAAGAGTACCCTTAGTGTGGTGTAGAATTGTTAAATCACTATATTGTACCTTGAAATTGATAGAACATTGTATGTTAACTATGCCAGAATTAAAATAAAGCATTTAATGAAAAGTTTTTTTTTTAAAGTGTGCTTTTGAAAATAATTGGCAATTTCCTCCTTGAAACTCATCTTTTTTTTGTTTTCAACCTAAACAATCAATAATAAAGGAAATATTAAATCATTTATGGTGCATTCATGTAGCAAAATACCATGTAGCCATTGTATATAAAAATATGTGAAGAAGGAACTTAAAAATGGGGAATAAGAAATATCTGTATTAAATCTGTCTCAATCGGATAGAACAACTTTCAAGAGAAGTTAAACCATCAGGGTTTAGGAGAGGAATTTGCATTACAAGTTTAGACTTAAGAGGAGTAACATTTCTAGTTCATAAGGTCTGGAACATGGCTATGGTAATGGAAGGCTATAGGTCTTTGGGACTGAGAAAAGCAGCAGTTGTGGGATTTAGTGATTAAATATATCGTCTACATGAATTTGAAAGGTTGCAAGATAATGGCAGGAGTTGTGATGAAGAGTTAGACCATTAGCTTGATGTCAAAATCTTTATAGCATATGATTGGAGCAGGTCAGGGATCGAACACCTGAAGTATGACAAACCAAAAGAGATAGAGAGTCTTAAATGTGGAAAGCTGGAGGTTCAAGAGTAAGGTTTCTTGCTCTTATGGTTTGTTGTTGTTGTTGTCCTTTTCAAAGGAATACTTCTTACTGGTTTGAAATGGTTTGAAAGTATGCTTTGGAACTAGAAGAATGCCAGTTTCTTCTGGTTGATGGTACTTGGAGTAGGAGAGAAAAGATAGTTTCTCCTATAAGTGCTTGCAAGAAAAACAGGAAAGATAAGGTTTTGAGAGATGGAAAAGAATGGTAAAACATTTCCAGTAAGGGGAGTAATATGGACATGGAGGTGAAGAATAAAAATAGTAATTTGATCAGATTGAGCTTTAAAGGAATGGAGTGGTGAGAGATAATTGGGGGGGAAATTGGGATCTGATTGTGGTAAGCTTTGAATATCACTTGACCTCTAAGAGAGTGGTTCTCATTTATCCCCAACTACCATCCCATTATAACTCACCTGATAGGAAGAAAAAAGAAAGAAACAAATAAACTCAAAATATGAAACATGCCTCTATCAGTAATCACGGTCAATCCCACTGAATAGCAGCCCTGTCTAAAAGACTCACATGTATACAAACCACCCAGAAAATTATGTTTTTAAAAGAAATACATCCTCCAAGAAACATTTCAGAAGCCTTGTAAAAATACAGGCAGTTGCTGTGGCAAAAGCCATACAGCTAACAAACGGTTGATTTAGTGTTCAAATGCTGTTTTTCACTCCAGAATTTCTTCCTGCCCTATCTATTGTAAGTGTGCAATATCAATTCTGTTTATCCTTCTTTCTCTCTTTCTTCTCCCCTCCCTCTCTCTTTCCCTTTCTTTATTTATTCAACAAACATTTGGGGAAACATCTATAATTGACAATCATATTTTCATTACAGTGAAACTCATCATTTATGCTTGAATTTCAGTCCAGATTTTTAGTCTTAGTAAACTTAGTATTTTATGATAAAATGGGAAATGAATAAATAGAAAAATTTTAAGAATTTTGTCTGTTGAGAAATTACAATAGCTTGTCATTGTTGGATATACTATTAATATTTAGTAGCTAGGATATGCTTTGTTTATCCAACTCCATGGGATAGAAAAGAAAAACACATTTTGGGGACAGAATTCTAGCCAATAATATTAAGAACAAGAGCTTTTATATGATTTATATTAACTCCTCATGTAAGCAAAAAGACACATTAATAAAGCATCATTACTTAGAATGGGAATAAAAAGACTTAGCTGAAAGAAATTTTGTAAGATTTTAAAGTGTCTAGATGTGTCTCAAAAATAGCTTATGGAAATGAACAATTCATATTCACAAATGATTTTTTTTAGTGTTTTTAAAATCATAAAATGCACATAGCATAAACTATACCGTATTAACCATTTTTAATTGTAGGATTATTCAGTGGTGCTAGGTACATTTACATTTTTATGCAACTATCAACACTACCTATCTCCAAAAGTTCTCCTCCATCTCAAATGGAAACTCTACCCATTTAACAAAAGTTCCCTCTTTCCTCTAGTCCCTGGTAACTGCTATTCTTTCTATCACTGTGAATTGGACTATTTAAGATACCTCGTATAAGTGGGATCATGCAATATTTTTCACATAAGTATATTTTTGTTACTTTCCAAAACAAATTCAATATCAAATAGTGGTTCACTTGAGAATGATACACTGGAATCAAAGTGCTATTCTACCTTTTAGCTGTAAAACTCAGAATCCGTTCACTTAAAAGCTAGATCTCTCTCTTCTCCGTCTTCAGAATGAATTTTAACCTCTTACATTTTGGAATTTTGCTGTTAAATTACATACTTTTAGCTACAAAATGTATAACAGTCCTTTTATAATCATCATCAACTGCGTCCCAAGCATCTTAAATATTTTATCTCATTTTAATCTTCACCCAAACTCCATGAAGTATGTACTGTTCCATTTTGTGAGCATGGAAGTCAAGACTGGCAGGTGTTAAGTAATTTGTTCCAAGCCACATAGCTGGTAAAAGCAACATCAGGACCTGCACTCAGATCTGTGGCTTGAAAACTCACACTTGGTGCTGCTTACTGAATAGCAACATAATAAAGATAAGAAACACTGCCTCTTTCAAATCCCAAACTTTTTAGATAGGTAATTTTTAATATGTTTCTCCTGTATAAAGCCATTTAATTGTTGTATCTGGGTCAATATGACTTGAAGAAGTACGGTATTAAAGGAAATCTTTTAAATTCACCTCAAATGCCAAGAATTATGCCTTGCTTGCTATGACGAAGAAAGAATTTAGAATGAAGTAACATCATTGTGTTCATTTGTAAATAACATATTGCGGCCAACTGTTTCTTAATTGCTCAGACTGTTGATAAATAATCCAGCCCTGCTGCTCTCTACAGACAATTTGCTTTGGATCAGACCAGGCAATTCAAACAATCCTAATTACAGTGAAGCCCTTTTATATGAATTTCTGCTTGTTGCAGGGAAGAAAACCCCTATGTAAAAGGTAAAGGCACTTACTTCTGATTTTTGCCTGAAACATAGCACCTATTACCTAAACTCAAGTTATATTAGTAGAGCGAATTTCAATTGAGTAAAAATGGATAAAGTAATATTTTGTATTAAAATGTATATTTCATTGCATTTACTCTTTATTGTACTGTCGTGGATTATGTTAATTTTATGTTTTTAATTAAAAGATATAACAGATGTAGAAACTTCATTTAAAGCAATATTTTCCTTGAAATAAGCTATGTTGCTAAGTGATTATGTAGTGTAACAGAGATTTGTATGTTAATAGACAAATGTGTCTATACTAGAAAGAAACTAAGACCTTAGGAAGTCTTCACTATATCAGGGGATTTGCTGTAACATGATATCATTGTATTTATGATTTTATGGTGTTAAAATGAATATTAAATGAAACAAAATTCCCAAGGATTACTCAGGAGGCAGCTAAGTACATAACATTTTGTACAGATGGTTGGAAGGCACAATTTTGCTCCATCACTGCATCCATATCCTTGAACGATTTCGACTGAAGACAGCATTTCTTTGAATTTTTCATTAAACCAGACGTCTTGAAATATGAATTCCTTTTATGTTTCTGTGAGTTTTGGCTAAAAGAACCCCAGTGAATAAATCATACAATACTACGTGTCACCAGCACTTGTGAATATTTCTGCTTTGTTATTCTATTCTCAGTAGAGCACCATTGATTATCAAACTCAGCGGAGAGCATTTTATGATCATATATCTCCATTAGCTCCTAGTTTGACTACCATAGATTTTTCTGGTTAAGCCTGCATTATGTATTAGGAAGCCTATCTCTTCAATACAAAGTTTGATTTCATTTTTCTAAGCCTAGAACTCTTATTATGTATTATGTATAAAGATTCTTATCTTTTATATGTAAAAATAGGCTGCACTGTCTTTGTGTAACTGAACTATATGCCATCTTTTTTTTTTTTTTTTTTTCTGATTCACAGTTAGCATCTTGTGCTATGAAGATGAATCTCTACAACGCAATGGCTGTCAGGGTAAATATTTCTTCACTTGTTAAACAAATGAAAAGTCAATTGTGCCCTGAATTCGCTTTTAATAAAATGAGCAAGCCAGAATAATGCAAATTTGATTGATATGCTAATGGTTAGAGAGAAAAGAGTACATAGTTAAAAAGTTAGTTATACTAAATAATCTTGGCAGTATTAAAAATTAGAGTAAAATGTAAAACATGTAATTATCAGTGCTTATGTTTTAGAATGTTAAATATCTCTGAGCCATAACTAGACAAAGACCGTAAATATTAATGAAGCAATGTATTAGTTTCCATATGTCATATAGAATATTGTGATAAATAGATGAACATGGTTCTGGAATATAAGATGCCAGCCCAATACAAATCAATTAGAAATTATTCATATGATTTAGCAGTAATAAAGGCAGTTTCCACTTTAGAAGTTTTATTTCTATCATCTCTATGTTCATTTTTATGTGTTATTTTCCTAATGGAAAGCTGAGTCTAGTGATTATGGGGCTGGTTGGTTTCTGCACTGATTTTGGGAATGGGCACAATAAGAGTATTATTTATCTTGTCTCAGACGGTATGATAATAGCTTAATTGTAGAGCTATCATAAATGGAGAAATTACTTTGGCGAATTTCATTAATGTTCTTAAAACTTATGTTGCCTTATATTCTCTTTCATTCATCTATTAGTTCTTACTTTCACTAATAATAGATTTTATTTTGGGTGAGGCAAGGTAGTAAAATACCTTCTGAAAGTCCTGTACTGAACTATGGCAGGTAAATCACATTATTTTGATTATTTATATTGCTTTGGGAAGGGTGCTTTTCACAGTTATGGGTGTGTACGGAGTCCCTATCCCTAGGGATGGTCTCTTTCTTTCTTCTTTCTTTCTTTCTTTCTTTCTTTCTTTCTTTCTTTCTTTCTTTCTTTCTTTCTTCTTTTCTTTTTTCTTTCAGATTTTATTTATTTATTTGAGAGAGAGGAAGATAGAGCATGAGAGGGGCAGAGAGACTGAGAAGCAGACTCCCCAGTGAACAGGGAGCTCTACTGGGGCTCCATCCCAGACCCTGGAGAGCATGACCTGAGCCAAGGGCATATGCTTCCCTGACTGAGCCACCCAGGTGCCATTCTGCCCACCTTTCTGCTCTTCTGTGGTTTAGGGAAAAAAGCAAGAGGGAGAAATAGATCTTCTTACTTCTTTTCCTGAGCCAGAAGCAGATACTATAGCTGCAATGGGCTCTTTATTCTTGTTAAAAATATTGTAGTATAGGAAAACAATTTGGTTTTCTTTTTTTCAATGGGAATGCTTAAATCTGGGAATTTAGGAGATTTTGATTCTCTGTATAGTTCTTACAAAGACGTAACTTCTGAGCCTTCATCACTGTTAGATTATTTCTTTTCTGCTTACTTTGTGTCAGGTATGCCTGCAAAGTAAAAAGCAGTAGATGACTGAATGTGAAGCACTTGATGTCCTAAGACTTAGATGTCTGCATAGATCACCAGGGGAGATAGGGACACAGAAGACAGGGTTAGAAAAAATGCATTCTATTGTTTGCTAGTTAGCCCCCATTCTTCGTCTTGAGTTCTGACCTGGCTTGAATCATGATTCTGTTTACCTAGATGAGGCATATCTAAGAAACCCACATCAATATAAGCTACTTGGAGGGCAGAGTTTTTGACTTAAACCAACATCATACTAACAGCTGCATTTCCTACTAACATCACTGACCATCAACTTGTCTTTGATTAATGTTAGTGAACAATGTTAAACTTTACCTGAGTCCTGTGACCGTGGAAAACAACAAATTAACCCCCCCCAAAAAAAAAAATCTACCTACCTTTTGGGTTCTGAAAGGGCCTACTGAAAAAAAAAATTGTCCTTCACCATAGGACTTGGATTAAAGGCACAGATATGTCCCTTCTTTACCTATGTCAGACCAGGGACAGCACCCCCCTTCGCAAATTTCTGTTCTTTACCTCACAAATGATTAGCTCAGCTGCTTGTCCCCATCAATCAATTGGAAAAAACATGTTTATTAACCAAACTGTGGTTAAGTTCTCTCCTTCCCCTGGGTCTTTGAACTTTAGCCAGCATATAATCCTGCCACCCCCTGAGAATAGGCTGGCTTCCTGGTAAAACATTGTTTGATCTACTATACAGTTACGCCATCCTTTCATCCCACTTCCCCATATCAGATTCTTTCTAGTCTTGTTTACATCTTCCTAATAAAATAGATCTTATGGTCAAAGTGTTCTTCCTACTGCCATAGTCCACTTCATCTATTGTGATGGTCACTCACTCCCTCTCCCTTATAATAGTTCTTTCAAGTAAAGTCTCTCTTGCTATATCTGGATTTTTATTTGATGCATTCCAGGAGAGAAGAGTAGAGGTGGGGATGCAGTGACCATTAAAGTGAGGCAGAAGTCTTGAACTGATCCATGAAGCCGCACAGGACTTTCTGTGAGGCTATGTGGAGGATGTGAACACTACCATGAGAAATTTGTAATAAAAACACTTCTCTAATGAAGATGCTCAGAGTCTGCCTTGAGAGGCTTGGATGAGTTGACTTGGTAATAGACTAGGTACTTAATTCATGTTCCTAACATTAGGAATGAGGCTTACTTGCATGGAGGCCAAAATGATTACCTAACAAAGATTAAATTTTAGCATTGGTTGATCACAGTGACCAGAACTGAATTTGTTTGTGAAGAGTGCATTTTTGCAAGATGGTACTCTGAAGATTTTGCTTTCTGCAGGAGTGAGTGGCTGAAGAGACCAATGTGTGATCCATTTACCTTCATGTTGGGCACATTTGAAGATTACAATCCTGGCGAGATACCACTAGCTGAAGTTTTACTTCTAATGTCTACACCTCTGTCTTTTTAGTTCCATCAGTTACCGAGTAACCTTGTTCAAGATAATTATCCCTTAAATACTTTAAATATGGGTGGCTGTGCGTGTCCAGGAGGAAGAATTTCTAAGAATGATAGGTAACTACCAGAAATTAATATGGCCAATAATATTCAAACATATATCTGCACTCAAATCTTGAATAAGATTTTCACATACAATAGAAAAGAAAAACTTTTGTCTTAATTTGCCTTATATACTGAACTGATTACAGATTATGTTTTACTATTGACTCCTAGCACAACAAATTCTCATCAATTGTTAAAGAGGGTAGTGGAGCATTCCTGAAGAGAGGGATTTAAAAAAAATATTTTTAGCCTATCCATTCCTATATAGATGTCACTTTTTTACAATAAAGAATAAATTATACATATATGATTTTTTTAATATAATAGGTATTCATATCCTGATTTGCTGCGTTTATTTTTTAAAGGGTCACCTTCTCTCTAAAGACTTTACGATCCCTCTACCTATGTAGAATTGATCACTCTCTCTTTTTATGTCCTATTTTACTATCGACATACTTCTGTTATAGAACCTGTAGCATTTTATTATCCTTACTAATTTACATGCCTGTATCTACCCCCCCCACACACACTGTAAGTCCCTTGGGGCCCAGATCCTATCCTCTTAATCTTTGTATCTACAGTTCTTGGCTTATAGTATGTAGTTAAATAAATTTCCCTGAATAAATCAGTGAACGTTGGGCCATTCTTTTCTAAACAAGGAATAATAAAAAAAAAAAAAGTCATTTGTTTTAAATGCTTTTTAAGTCTCTCAGTGTCTTTGTTAGAAATGATTTAAGCCTTTGCTGGGGGACCTTTCAGACTTTTTTGAGAATCTGATGAGGTTAATGTTGTATAGATAAACTGGACATGGTAAGGTACTATTTGGTTAGTGCAATTCTCATGTGAATGGAAGATCTCATGAACTTTGGGACCTTGCTAAAATATCATAACATGGAAAGGTTTGAAGGAGGTTTGCTATGATATAAGCTGCTGTCAGAAACCACAGTATGCCTTTTCAAAATTCCCGTTACTGATAATGCTGCTAGGCCAGTGACAGTCAATTAATACAGCAATAAATTGCTCAATAAATTTTTATCTTAGCTCCTGGGGCCCTATTCCTCCTGTTTCTGTGTGTGACACTTTATTGCCTTTTTGGTCTTTAATTCAACTTTACTCCAGATTAGGATTCTGCTTTTTTCCAGCATTTTAACTGTTCCATTGTGGATCTTGTCTAAATTTGGCCCCCAACTTTTTTTTTTAGTTCTCTCTTTTTGAACAGCTGTTAGTATCTTATACAAATGTCATGAACTGATTCAGTTGCTAAACTCATTTCTCTCCACATTCCACTTATACAATTGTATATCCTTTTACAGCCTGGCATAGAACTGACCCTCCATTTCCGATGCCAGTGAGCATCTAATTAAGCACTTGGGTGTCACCTCAGGTCCATCAAACACTGGGCTTAGCAACTCAGCTTCCTAATAACAATACTATAAAGATCAAGGCAAAATTACTGTATGTATAGAAAACCCACTAAAAAAAACATCCCCAGGTGGCAAAAAAAAGTATAGTTTTAGTGGTATTGTTTCATCTATTCGAGGGTCTATTACTTGTTCCTTTTCCCCAGTACCTTGATCCATGATACTCAACATTTAGTATTTTCTCTAGCTTATGACTTTTGGTTACTGGTTGACCCCATCCAAGATGAAGCCTCTTCTGTGGAATAGTATATATCGTATACTTCTTCCGTTTGTTGGGGGGAAGATCCCCCCCCCAAGAGACTGAATGTATATCCAGCCTCACCTTTGTCTTGGAAGCTCCTATTTCCCCAATAGAATTTTTCCAGATTTTCATACTTATTACACTAGTGTGTGTGTGTGTGTGTGTGTGTGTGTATTCAGCAATATATATATTGCTGACAGATATCTGAGCATACCTTCGTCAAACTGATGGCCAATGGGAGCTATATGTTTCTTTTTTTTTTTTTTTTTTTTTTTTGAGCTATATGTTTCTGAGGCCAGGCAGGAAAAAGATTGCAATACCATGTATTCCCAAATCTTGGTAAGTCATAACCATTAGTAAATAACAGTAA